TCGGTATAGCATTATGAATGCAAAATTGATCAAATATAATAATTAGAACAAATTTTCATCTTTATAGAAAATTTTAAAATCAGTAAAAATATTTCTTTCAGTTGTTTGGGTAGATTGCCTAAGCATTGATGAAAGTACGCTCTGCAGTAGGGAAAAAGTAACAAGTGCTTGAAAAATTCGTCTGTCCTGTTAGGTCCTGGGTAGCTCAGCAATTCCAGCGTCTGTGGTACATTTACCTCTGCTAAAACCAAATTGATTTGTGAAATAATTTATTTAACGAAAAGTGTGAAAGCAGTTGATTGCAAATGATTTTTTCAAATAATTTACTTACCACTGATAGTATGGATATTGATTTGAAATTATTGGGATCAGAGTTGTTACCTGCCTTGAAAAGTGGGATTATTTTTCCATATTTCATTAAATCAGGAAAAGTTCCTTCATAAATGCACTGATCAAAAATAAAAGTGAATTGAGGCGCTATAGATGGTATTATAGATTTGATAACATAAGTTGAAACGCCCCAAAAATCTTCATTTTTTTTTTGACATTAATGGAATTAAATGTTCAAGTTTCACACAACAATATATCGCTCAATTGAGAGGGATAAGCTATTCCCCTCGTAAGGCATTTATCCTACACAATAAATTCATAATTTTATAATTTTTGAAACCCATATTCAATTCATAATTTCTGAGCCAGTGTTCTATAATACGTATAATATCAATATTCATGGTATTCAAACATATTTCTAATTTTAGATCTTTTCTAGAAAAGTCTTGTATATTTTGGTGAACAATAGTTAAATAGGTAAACTTTTCCTTGGTCATCTCATTGCTAGAGATTTTTCTATTGTCAATTACATGTAGTTATTTTTTTTTATTATAATGAGCTATTGTATTTAATGTCAAATATCTGGATATGAAAATAGATGAACACTTTTCATGGGCAACCCATATTGATTATACCTGCAATAAACTAAAAATACTATTAAATTATTTTGTATCACCTGAGCTTCAGGGTAATTGGTACATTAAGGTGTACCTATTTATGTCTTTGGTGCACCCTGTTCTTTGTTATGCAATCGATTCCTATGGTCTAAGCTTTAATTAAAATAAGCAAGAATCATTAAAAATAAAGTTTCTTAAATTATTAGTTTATAAAAAGAAACAATACAAAGATAATTATAATAAATTATATAAAATATGTTATTCTTCCAATATCATTGTAACATAATTTCTCTTGACATGAAATCATCACGGTAGTATAGAGCACAACAGCTATGTAGTTTATAATCAAATTACAAGATCAATGGCCACTGGTAAATAGGAAGTACTCACAGTTTATAATTATTACCAGGCTCGTCTTAAGCACAACAGGCGCCTGGGTGCAAGTAGTGCTCTGGCGCCCCCCAGCCCAATTTTCACTGATATTTATATTAGTTTTACACATATTTATATTAGCGCCGCGGCGCCCGTATGCATTGCACACCCTGCACTATAGGTTAAGCCATCCCTGATTATTACGGCGACTAGCGCCTGAACAAGACTTCTGACCGCCCTATGTTATAATTATGTCAATGCGCCCTTAGGGATTGCAATCCGGATACTTCGAAATTCGAAATAACTGTAAAATCCGGAACTACAGATAAGATCCAGTTTTTAATACTCAAATTTGTTTTTCGGATTTTAGTTAAAACTTAATTAGACCATATAAACCGAGCTGCGTGTTGCTACAACGATACGCGAGTGTATCTCGCTGCTCCATTTCAGACTCTTTATGAAATTCTGATTCTTCACCACTTAGTTTGCAAGAGAAGTTCAATCGTCATTCACTTATTTTTGGAATTACTGACGGAGAGCGTCTATAATTGATGTTGGTGGACTCTATACTTTTTATTTAAGTATATTAGTTATTTTTTGTATTACACAAAACTATTTTTGGATAGTGAATGACTCGAGTGTATATATTATGTAATACTCGCTATTGTAAAAAAAATCACTTTTCAATTCTTTATATTTCATCTATGAAAAATGGTGTTAATGATGCTTCCACCCGATTTCGACCATGGCGACCGCTTTGACTCCAAGTCCGGTTGGCGCTGATGCTCTCTAAGATGGCTAACATAGCCGATCTATTTAAGAACGCCCGCGAGCAAACGTGAGTACTCTATGTAGTGGTATAGATTGGCAGCAGCTGGCCAGGCTCGTAATAAATTTTTTTTCCTGCTTTCTCGTTTCAGATAGTTTCTATTATTTTTTGGTAATTAATATCCATTAAAATATTATTTTTATATAAATTAGCAAGAAAGCTTCCATTTCTAGTTGACGGAGTATGGAGCTAAGTATTCTGAGGTAGAGCGTAAGTATTTTTTTATTCTTCTTAGGACTGAAAAAGATCTTTCACCAATCATGCAGTATGTCCTACTCATGGTTTAAAAAAAGATTAATATAATTTCCACATTAGAGAACATATACGTAATATTGGGTGCGTAGGTGTTTGATAAATTTCAATAAGCCCTCAGAGTTTAACTGAAATTGAATGCTCGGCCTCGACATCGGAATCTAAATATTGCGCTAAACGGAAGCACTATGTCTCAAAGCTTTCTTCAAAATCACTGGCATCTAATTGTTGCAACTCCTTTACTTTCTTTTTAATAAATTAATTGTCGTCCATTTTAATTACTTTCCACTCATGGATCTCTCGAACTACTTTGCAAGGCATTTAATTTTAGTTTATAATCTTGGATCAAGTTAAATAAGAATTATTGAATAGGCTGCAGCCTTAGTATCCTAAGGGTTAATCAGGCCGTAGCGGCGACAAAAACAGTATACTAAAAAAAAAGCAAAATCTTACCGTATTAATAAAAATGTAAATACGGTTAGCTGATGTTTATCACTAGAAATTAGAATAATGATCGTAACAAGAAAATATATAAAAGTAAATTTAAAAAAAAATACAATAGTATATTACCGATATGATGATTGTATAGCTAAGAGTGTTGTACGTGTGTAACACAAACACACTGTGTGTGCGTTCAAAAATATCATTGTCAGATTTAATGATTTTTTTTTCAGCAAACAATTACAGTAGTATTTAAAGAGACTCAGTCACTGCTGTCACTGTCAACCTGTCACATGGTTTTAAGTTAATTTATGTATATTATTGTGTCAAGATAATACATAAAATAAAGAAAAATGTTTTTTTAATCATTTTTTATTAAGAATAAAATCTCAAAGCTTTTGTATGTATTATGTTTAGCGCCTGATGACAAATTTAATTGAGTTTTGAAACAATGACCTTTAATTATTCATTGGAAGTTAATCTTAATAAGTATTACTGACATCAATATGATTGGTTGATATCGGTAACATTTTGATTCCCCATAAAAACTTCCACTCCCGTTTTTATCCGTTTAAATGCTGGTTTTGGAGATAAAATATAACCTATTACCTTATTAGGATTTTACACTATTCCAATACAAATTTTCGTTGATATAGGTCCAATACCAAAGAAGTTTCGAACAAACATTTTCAACCTTGTTAACTCCTGGGGATTGAATTTCCAATAATAATAATAATAATTAGAGGAATGTACCTTCCAAATTCAACTGTATGACCAGCGGTTTAGGCTATGAGTTGTCTGTCAGTCAGTAAGTCAGTACACCTCCTTTTATATTTTTGTAGATATAGATTATTATAATTTATAGTTTTATTTCATTAAAACAGTGCACAAACTGCGCTCATTGGGTTTTGTGATTAATACGTTTAATTTTCCCTACAGCTCGGTATAAACTGAAAGGATCCCGTACATAATTAATGTAACAAATAAATAAAGCATTTGCAGCAATGAACTTGAAATCAGGTATGACTGAATTTGTGGACAATTCGTTACTGTGGCGAACGCGAAAATGTTTTGTCTACAACCAAATGTAACTTTTGTCGGTTGCGCCCTTTGATTATATACTTGGGTGCACCCCTATACAATACTCATTTTCGACCCGAGAAATGTAACGTTTGATGTAGACAAAGCTTCTCTCGAGTTTGTTATGCTACACGTGCTGTACGTACAAGGTTTTGATAGGATCTCTCTCTTCACTCAGGACCCTACAATCCTACATGACTCTCTCGTTTCGCTTAGGATCCGTCATTCGTGACATAAGACAGTTCTTTATTATCTACGTCTTAAATTACATAGATAGAATACTACTGTTATATATTTTTTTTCTGAATTAAGTAATCATGAAATATTTCTCTTCATAAACTTGAAGAACGTAAAACTTTATACCTAATAGCAAAAAAATACCCTCCTTACCAATCGATGACAAAAAGAAAATGAGGGAATACTTAATAATCGAAAATATAATAATTTAGAAAAAGCATAAGAAATGCTTAAAAGTTTTCTAATAGCAAATTATGTAGGTATTAACTGCTCGTACGAATTAACATTACAGCAGAAGGTCTAATTTATTTCTCCGAAAACGAAGTTTCGTCTACTTCCGAAATGTTAATTAATTAGACTACAAAGCAACGCATTTTTCGAATTTTTATGATGCAACGGAGGTATTGCCTGACATTGATTTGTTGGACAGATGATGATATCTTCACAGATATGATTTTAAGAAATTTATAAGAAACATTCCGAATCATTCGAATTTTCGTTCGAGGGCAAATAGAATAGGCCGTCATATGACAATCTTAATTAGTTCGATTATACTTTCGGTAAGTCCTTGCGGTCAATGTTTAATGAATATCTGAAGGAAAATGTATCGCGTCTCAGTGACTGACATTCGACTTTGCAAACTCGACGGAAGATCGTCAGTCAGTCAATCAGGTTTGAACAGACCCTAGTCTTTGATTACAGAGATGTAATTAAAATATGCCTATACACAAGTAAATACAAAATCAGAGATTTAACAATTTAATTTATAGGTACTTTCAATATTGAAAAACTAGTAACTGTAAATATGAAACAGGTTAGATCAATAAGTTTAAATGCAGCATACAATAAAACTTCTTTATTTTTAGGCACCAATTAAATTACATTTATCATGAACAATTCAACAAATAATTCCTTACACTTACTTAAACATACGAGATCGTACTCACAGCGCATTGAACATTTTATAACAATATCCTAACATTTTAACATTTAAAACACATAACTCCCTAAGTTATATAACAATAAAGGCACTTCTATATATATTGCTGAAATATATTCCTCTATATAAGTCAATATAGTGAGGTATATAATAAAAAAAAATTGCACTATACGAAAAATATCACTCGAACATCGAGTCATAATGGCACAAAAATCACGATATCAGAAGGGCTGAGAAGCCTCTGATATCGATAACTTAAAACAGCGGCTTTTCGACTTCAGCGTTCTTCATCATTTCATGCAGAGACGCCGGCAACTCCGGTATCCTATATATAGAGTCGGAAATTGGGGGCAATGTAATCGCATCCAAGTTCTTTTCATAACCGGAGAAATCCACATACAGTCGCGCAGCACGTTCTATTTCGTCCTCTGTCATCTTCGCCAGGCGCAACTGTTTCTTCAACTCGATTTGCGACTCGCCGCATTTGATGCAAGTATCTTCGAGGGCGTAGGGTGTCGATGATCTTCGCAGAACATGCTTGCAATGCAGAGGCTCTACGAACTTGTGACGAGGTGGTGTTGGTTTGGCGGGTCTTCCCGGTATTATCACCAGGCGATCGCTGCGATGGTTCGCATTGGTATGCCCCACCGCTTCTCCGCCTCCGACCATGAGTGCCTGCCACAGCGGTACCGACGGATTCTCTACGTCGATGGACACGCAACGCGATTCAGCAGTACTCTTTGCTTCGTGTTCAATCACTAGACTATAACGCAGACGAATCTTCTTTGGCTCAATGCTGTGTTTTAGATACACGTCGATTGGTATGTCTAAAGATACGCTGCCCGTCTCTTGAATCTCATACGGCGGCTCCTGAAGCACTGCAAAGAAAGACTAAAATGTAAACATAATATAAATTCGCAGTTAAGTAGCGGAGATAAATATGAGCATCGTAACAGGCTATCAACTTCGTATGATAACGATAATGAGTGTTTTATGATGAAACTGTTCGCAGGCGGAAACTAAATAATTCGATATGAATTAATTAAACTAGTTTCGTACTGGTTCGTAGACCGGTTGTGATGTTGTTCTATAGAAAAATTTTGTTATCTTGTCTAGAAGAGTATAGATAAATTCTCAAAATATTTGGTAGAATAATTAATTAAGATAATTATTAATATCTAATTTATTGTAAACTAATAAAATTGATTAAAATAGAGTTTTGTGAAGGATACACATACCTCTTTTAGGGTAAACAAATGCGCTAGCAGGACGTAGAATGAAAACAACTTTGTGCACGAAAGCGCTGATATCGCGACCGTTTGCCCCGCGCACCCACAGCCGCCAGTCGAGCGCTAGTGCACGTCCTCGCGCAGTACTTCGTGGTTCGCAGGAATGCCCCACTTCGAGCCAAATACGCACGCACATCTGTAAAAAAACAGTCAAAATCACTATATTTTCAAATAATCGTTACAAGTTATATAATTGACTGACAATATTGCTTTTATAATGGTTGAAGAAATAAGTGGACATGAAAATTAACGATATTTCAGCGCTACGGTTTAGTCGAACGAAAGGGAAATCAGATATCAAGGCAGACAAGTCATCAAAAAAAAATTCGTATATCTTCCGATATATGAGACAATACATAATAACATATTACGCAGGGTAAACTGTCGAAAGTTTTTTTAAATTAGTAGTTAGACATGCACTCTAAAACTATTACATACGTACGATTGTTGAAATATCGATTGTGTCAAGCATTGACCACAGAGGTTATTTAAATCATTATAAAAAATATAATAACGAGCAGACAATATGTTTTATTTTTAATAGTGATTTTGTTGTTTGTATGTCGGTATAATTTAAGTCACGTTTTTGCTCGAAAAAACAGATGGGGTTCTGTACTTTTCCATTAGAGATTATATGACATTTTTACAAATAAATTGACTTCGTCTTAAATGTGTATTATTATGTGACATTATAAGCAACTACTTTAAAACAACACGTTGTTTACATTATGCCATATATTATAGAATGGATTTATGTTATCACGCGTCATTAATTACGTATGTATTTTATCACAAGGTAATCTTTTATTATGTTTTTACGTTGATATTTTTAGCAGGTTTATTAAGTAAAAAGAAGACTTCGATCACTAATATTGGATGTCAAATCTTTTTTGGTAACTGTAATTATTAAATAAGAAAGTTTTTAATTTATCACTATGCGCTGAAATGAAGTTCTAAACAAGCTTGTATAATTTTGTAAACCATTTTTAGTAATAAAATATTTAGTCATCAAAGACCAACGATGGATCCCTTTGAATATTGTAATTTTAATACAACATATTTAAGAATTATCTAACATTTTAGACGTAATTAAAAAACATAAATTTATACTCCGTGGCTATAATAATTTGTAACAATGAGCAGTTATGATTAACTAGCTTATCTATGCATACTAATTTTACGCTACGTTAGTTAATATAGCATATATTTTACTGCGATATAATCTGTTTATACAATAGTTATATAATTTCTCATTGTTATTTCCGACCAAATGCACATTACTTAATTACCTTAACACAAATATATAGGTACTACTATACTCTCTCTCTCTCATAAACTCTCTAGGTAAACAGAGAAAATTATAATCGAATAACTTTTACCGTAAATTCGTTCACGTGTATTCAAAGTTTAATAATGATATTTAGGAAAAAGTTTTTATTTATTTGCCATGAATTGTTGGTCGAAACATATTTCTCCAATTTCTCCACTTGATTTTACACTTTAATGCTTTGATGTTTCAATAACTAGAGTTTGACATTTGTGGTAGTCTTGTACAGCCGATTGTATGTAATTGGAAAGCTATTTAGTAAGATCGACGCAGTATTAATTATTTTCAACTTAACTTGTTGTTTTCAGCATGGCTCGGACTGGTGGGCTTCTTGGAGGAACTAGGCTGTCAAGCCTTTTTGACCCAAGGGGTGGCAAGATCTAATGTGATACCGTTTTTACGCGAAATGGGCACTGGGTTTCGAATTGCAGAAAAGCCTGCTCTAAATCATAAGCACGGCTCGGAAACCTTTTTATTATTATTAACCAGCTCATAAGAAACTCTATACATATTGTAAATGAATAATGTTTAAAAATATACTTTATCCCTGGCACTCCAAGATGGGAATTGTGAATGGAGAATTGATCAAATGTAATACATTTTTAGAGCGTTTTCAACGCGTGTCTCGCGCCGCGCGTCGAATCTTAACATACGATATATATTATGCTCGTCTTTGTTTCAAGAAAAAAAAAATGTAAGACCTATTTTAATTTAGAATATTTTTTATGTAACATACATAATACTACATTGTGGATGAAATAAACAAATAAATGAATGAATTGTTGATCTTTTTTTGTTTGCAATGAATAAGTTCCGAGACTACTGAAGCGATTTCAAGAATTCTTTCACCTACTGGAATCTACATCAAACGTGGTTAACCTATAATTTACGTGGGCGTAGTCACGGGACAACCGTAGTATCATAAACAATTACAATTGTATTACAATACATCACCCGCAAAAATATAGATACTTACTTTGGCTTCCGATTTCGTATTCTCCAAGATGTACATAAGTTCGTATAATAAAAACTAGAATTTGTTAGCAACTGTGACAGCTTAACTGCTGTCATAATTTTGCTAGGATTAGAAATTAAAAAATACATAAAAAAGGTTGAATAGGCACATTTTAAGTATGACAGCGTTTCACCTTGGTATTATTAAAGCTCCATTTCAGCATTCCATAGAGATTTTTTTTAAATAGAGTAAAAGTTGTCTTATCTTAAAATCCTCTGTACCCTACAGTTGGATCATCATAAGAAGCCAAATTTGATATCTTTCAATCTGAAATCAATGGCGAGGTTATTTTATTCTATAGAGAAAAATGTTTTAAATTTACCTCTAAGATGTGATGTTATCTCACTCTTAAATATGATGTTATTTTATTATTACTTATTACAGCTAATTTGGACGTTATTTCTTGGTACAAAACTAGTTCAAAGAAACCTTTGGCATGCGCAACCTCTTACCTGCAACCTGTAACCAGGAACTTTGAACACAAAGTCAATTGTGTATAGCTAGTATTGGTTATGAGCTTTTAAATATTTTTCGGTGATGGGTAGCGCAGCGACCTGCCATTGCTTCTCCCAATAGCTGGTCTTGTTACGAGTGACCCAATTTTAAATTTCCGGTATTTTCCGTGCTTTGGAAGCCACGACAAATCGCAGCTCATTTGCATTTTTACTTTCATAAATATTTTCTATTTGATCACTATTTGAGTACAGTGAGTGCATCATTATGCTATAATATATTCTTTGAGGTCTCAATGGTTTGTATGTTTATAATTTTAATGTCATTTGAATAATGTTTTAGTAATTAAATTCCCAATGTGATTGTTTATTCAGGCTTTCATAAATAATTATAAAATCAACTTCCGAGTAGACGATGGTTTCAATTTTTGGATACATACAAGTGTTTAAAAAGACAACGGGTAATCAGACATAACTTTATAGCGGCGTTTAGTATATTTAGAATGAAATCTATTTATTACATTTTGATAGCTTTATTAGTCAAAGAAAATCGTTAAATTGTATGATTTTTCTAAAATGTTATGACAGTAAATATATTTTAATAATAAAAGGTAATAATCAGTTGTACAGTTTTAAACTTTTATAAAATTTATAATAATACATATTACAATAAAAAGGGTAGATTTCTTGAATTCAAAAAGTACTTAACACCTTAAATCTATACTAATTACCATAACTGAGCGCAGTCTGGCGAAAGCGTTGATTATGTGCGTTTATGTACCATAATCATTTTAAAAATGCCATCCTGTGTAATACGAAACTTCAGAAACAACATAAGTAATCATCAAAAGATGGGGTCATATTTCATTTTTAAGTATATATTTTTTATTGATTTGCGTTTTAGTCAGAAAAATAAATAATGTGTCATAAAAAGAAAGAGTAAATACTCCAGTTACAAATTGTGAAAAAGATCTGTCAAAGATTTGACTCAAAAAAGATCTGACAGACTGTAGTGCCTACTCTCTGCCTTACATTTATTTGAAAATTTATATGAGACTGAAACTCCGAAACACCGGGGTTTGAATTCGGAGCATCGAAACCTAACTCTGGATCTAAAAAAAATACTTCGATTACGGTTTCGATCGAAGTTTCCGTGTTATTATACATAATTATTATATATCAGTTTCAGAAAAGTTTCATTATTTATACATGATCAAATAATATATACACATAGACAAGGAGAAATAATAATGTGACACATCAACATTTTTTTGATTTGTTGATCGAAGTCCTAACTCGTTTAGGTAAAAGTAGGCATCAAATATGCATTAAATCATTATACGTCTGGTCTGTGACATGTTCATTTAAAATCTATGAATAATTAGAGAGTATCGTGCCATGTGTGTGTCTATTTGCTGAGGACAAGTTTTGAAATATTATTACTACTATATGACCGATCTACCCTTTTTTATTGTAATGTAGGCGCATTAAGAGGTTAGTGTGAAATTAAGACTGATAGTTGTCGATTGTGGCCTATTAAAATGACCCAACCGTATGCGTTTTAACGTAAGGTCAAAGATTATAAAAATCAGTATTGATCTGCTATTCCTCCAATGATTTTTACATCTATAATAGAACTACGTATGATACGCAAAAATGTTATAGACGGTTGTTAAAATTTTTAATCATTTTATGATTTTTTGAGAGTGCGCAGCGCCCATTTATAGAATTTGGCAAGTATAGTTTAACAGATTATGACCAAATATTTACTATTTCGAGCTCCTCCGTACTTCGGAAGGTACATTAAGTCGTTGGTCCCGGTAACATTTTCAGTTGTTAACACCCACGAAAACGCAAGAGGTCTTTGCCTCAGCAGCCCTGCGATTCTGTAAAAAATCCAGACCCGAATACAAATTCACTCATGTGTCCGAATTCACGTCATTTAGTGAAGAAATTCTATTGATTCCATTTTTTGTATAAAAATGCAAAACATAATTGATTGAATGTGCTTGTCTCAGATATTCTGTTCCTATGTCACTTCAAAACACACTTCACTTATGCCACGAAACGCTATTACCAATTCAAGGTTGACAAGATGCTGCTTTTTGAATTGAATTCGGAGACCTGAGTGAATTCGAATTCGGGTTTGATTTTTTACAGAATCGCAAGGCTGGTCGGAAAAGTATTGCCGAAAGATGATTCTGTGTGTGTTTGTGGGAAATGATTGTTTTTATTTTTACTAGCTGACCCGGTGAACTTCATACCACCGTGTACACATTTTTTGTAATTTTTCTTATATACAAACCTTGTCTTGACAAACTCGTAAAAATCATAAAAACGAA